TATTATCGATAAAGAATTTAACCTTACTTAAAAGCGGTGTTGGTAAGTGATGAGACTAATTTGTTAGGCTTGAAGGGTAGAATGAATAAATATCATTAGTTAGTGCAAGACGATATTGCACTAACTAATGATAGCATCTGAAACGTCTAAATAATCAAAAACTGATTATATCATCAATGCAGTGATTATTAGTGGGGTGTGACATTTTCATTTCTCTTGTGCTAAAATCACTCAGACACATTTGTTCAATTCATGCGATTCCTTGTAATTTTTGGGAATTGTTGAGTTTCTTGTCGGTCTCTTAGCCACAGAAACTGCTTTCCGAACCTAGTATAATTTTTGATGTAAAACTTGACGATTCATAAGAACGCGCAAGCGTCTATTTGAAAAATATATTTATGATAAAAAAAGCTAATTAAATGCATTGAATCTTTTTCAGGATTTTTTTTATTTATTTACTCAAAACGTCAACAAGCAATAACGTTATTAACATTCATACAAATATATTACTATACCTATCTATCGAATCAAAATATGTGACAAAGGCAATTTTATTATTATATTAAAGAAAAAAATATATATTACTACTACTGAATAAACAAGGCAATAAACAAAGTTTCAAGGTCAAGAAACATTTCTGCTTTCAATCTCCGTTTGAAAGTTAAGTATCGTCATCCAAAATAACACCAGAATATGATGTTTTAGCACCTGTTAGTTATAATTGTTAAGTCTAGACAGAGGTTTGTTATAAATCACATTGGTACTATAAGTTGGAACATAAAATAAACAGTGCGAAGTTTAAATATAAACGGAGGGTCTTTTCTTATTTCTTCTGTCTTTCTTCTTTATACGTGCTCATTCTGAAACAACATTTGGTCGGTGAGATCCAGGGCCTCATAGAATTCGCTTTTATAAAGTAAGAAGGAAACTTTCTGGAACGTAGAATCTTAATTCGGAACGTGGAGAATTCACGCAGTGAATATATGATCGGAACATTATTATGGTATCCGTTCAATAATGAAACAGGTGTTTTGGTTGAGCGACTGTACTCTACGATAGGATTCAGCGACAATGGCAGGGTAATATGACGGGGCCGATCGTAAATAATCCCTTTGGATGTTACCGAATGGAGGCGCGATAGTGCACAAAAGCCGATTTAATGCGCTTGAAATGAGAGCTCTCCGGCGGACGGGTGGAGTGGAGCACGCCCGCCGCGGACGACGCGAGGCGGCCATCGGTTTTTACAACACGATTAATTCTGAAGTATATCTGAATTAAGCTAATTCCCTCTGACATTTCAAACGCTATCACTCGCTAACACAATTCAACTGGATTCTTGAATGTTGCAATGAAAAAGATAACCCAAATTTGCATCATAATTTAGAGTAGTGTGATAGTACATTTTTCTAAGCAAATAACTAATTTCGTGAATCACTGTGGTAGAGCCACGCTGCAGCTCCCATTGTTGCCCGAATGGGTAGGCACATCTGGGTAAGTAGCACGGCCTCATAGAAGACCGTCGGGAAGTAGAAGTATTTTACTTTTGCGTTCCGTCTGCCGAGTGAGGTAACCGGGGCCCACTTTCTCAAAGGTTGTTACTACATCTCCAACCACTAAGGTGTTGCAGACATGGGTGGCGGTAATTCCTTTATATCAGGTGAACCACCTGCTCGCTCGACAACTTTTCACATGAAAAATAAAATAAAAAATCCATCTCGAGGTTTTATGTTGGAATGAAAAATCATACAAATCATTATTATTATTTGTAACCAAAACAAAGTGCAAAACCTTGTACAATCTTATGATTTAACGCAATTAATTGAAGAAACATTTTTGATTGCCTGCAAGAAGATGTATTTAAAGAAATTTTCTATACAATTTACTTTTTAAAGATGAAATTGGTTTTACGTGAGGTCGCCGAGACGATTATCAGTAACATCGAAAATCGTACCTTTTTAGTGTTTATTTCTAATCCTTGAAATTCTTCTATACCTTCGATAATAAACTAGCTTGGAATGCATTCCGTAACATATGACGTACTCAATAAATCTCTAAACTGGCAATGAAACATCGATTCGATGAATGTCATGATCGATCACGTCGATCCCTTTCGTTTACTATTTCATCAGAATAGGGAACTCGTCATAAGATATGCTGCTTTGATACCTCTTAAGTTTTATAGCCACCGTTGACCTGAATCCCCTCATGCAGAGCGTGAAGAGCTAAGTTCAAGATGTTAAGTGTCCTACCTAGTACGTTCAATCTTCTACCCCGGAAAGCACGTTAATGTTACAGGTGTTTAGGAGAATGTTCGTTAAACTAAGTAAAAGTATGTTTGTTTCGTCACGCACACGTGTCTTATGTTGTATCTTGTGTTTATGCCGTATTGTCTTATATTGAAAAATCTGCAGGAAAAACCTAGTTCATCACAGGAAAAAGATAGAAGAAGTCTTACTTAGCATACGTATTCAAATCATATTTTACTTCAGATAGCGCCAACCTCATGGTAGACTGGACGGAAATGACGACGGTATATAATCTGCCTCTGTGAAATTTATGACCATAAACTTAATTAATCAATAAAAGCAGTAGTAATTTTATCAATTATCTACTCATAACTAGATATGTGTGAGAGTAGTGTACATATGTGCAAAAAAAACTCTATGTGTACAAAAACATTTCTCATACACGTAAATTACTGCATTGACGGAAGACACAAAAAATATAGAAACTCTAAATTTAAAAAGGTGTTTAAAAATTACATCTTGATGTAATCACTGTGCTCAATACAGAAATATTTTATCGTGTGGCACATACTTGTATACATCACATGGAGTTGTACATATTTGTTGATAAAACCATCAATATTCACAAAGTTGACATCAAAGCGACATCAAGCGCAATAATATACTCGTAAGCATTCAGTTGCATTTCGCGCTGTCTACACAATTAGTAATGAACCAAGTAGTCTGGGAATTGGATCACAAACATGCTATTCAACAAAATTCTTCTAAAGAGATGGATTTGAAAGAATGTTCCTTTCCAAACATTTAGCTCTTTACGCTTATTTTTCAAAGTCCTAAGAAATTTCTCAGTCTCGAGTGAAACAAAAGTAATACACGAATCAACTCAACATGACAACGGTACAAATTGAATGTTATAGTTTCATGCGGGGTCACACGAAAACTCACAAGTCACATAAAATTTCACCTTCACGAAGAGTCAAATGTAAACGCCACGGGAGGCCGTTAGATGATAAATAAAAAGTATCTCTTTTCACACTCCAATATTTCTTAGCTAATAACTTGAAACAGTCGGATTTCGGAAACGGATTGTTTTATGCTTTTAAAATTGATTTTGCTTTCTTTCCTCGACATATATGAGGTATCAACAATGAGTTCTCATATAGTCTGTATAAAATAAACATATTAACAAACAGACAGATTCATATTAAACTGTTTAAATTATTACATTAATGTTTTAAGTGGATATTCTCTTATATGTCGCACGGTTTCTAATTTCCTAAGTTTTACTTAATCAGAACAATTGCTACTGAATCTTGGTTCACGCAGGCCAACAAAATCGACGACATTTATTATTAATTCAACTCATAGAATGCGGAAAGCACAATCTGACTTAGTCAAACTAACGATTAAACTATTTACTAAAACTAACGAAACAACAAAAAATTTGACAATATCACGCGAGCAGGCGATCCAATCATATACAAGACCTAAGGTCTGCATATGCGTTGCCAATCAAAAATGGTCCCCGGCTTCATCACTCGGCAGACGAAAAGCGAAGAATACTTCAACTTCGCTTCGATCTTGTGAGAGGCTGTGGTAGTTCCCCGGGCGAGCTAGTCCATTCGCCCAAAAGCCGAAGCTGCCGCGCTTTCGTTCCACAGAAAAATCGAACAATTTAACTTCTACTTCAAATAAAGTGTCTTTGCCCCGTCTGCTATTGCTTTCATTTTCGCATGTACAAGAGCACGCCGCGCTGACTGAATTCGGGAAATTTCCTCTTCATAGTTACATAATTACGATTATTATTTACTCTATTCACAATAAAACTAGCTTTTAAATCACACAAGTATATTCATTTAACGTAATTGTTATTTTCGATGGTTTTATGCTTATTTAGATAACTTTTGTCAGCGATTTTTTTCCCGAAGTTATATTTTAGACCGCCCCAACTTAAGATTCAAAAAACCGCAAATTCTCAACACTGATTCCTCCCAAGGACTCCGTGACACTTTTGAAATAAAGAAACATATTAATTTCAACAGAGAAGATGGTTGTGGGTTAACATCAGCCTTTAAAAATCCAAGCATACCAACACTCCTAGACATCAAGATACCATAAGCTCCTTTTGCGTAGATCGAAATAAAAATAAATAATAAAATAATTGACGGTAGTCCGAGTTAACTCTGACATTAAGACGTGAAAAAACTCGGTCTGTCCCCTGACCATGAACGCCGGAAAGAGTTCGAAACGTCTTGAATTAAAAATCTAACTAAGCGCGATAAAATCCGTAAAATATTTTTATTTAAATACATTTTCTTATTTTGAGTGCCGTTTGTTTTAAAGATTTAGAAGAAGTATCTAAAGGTCAAACATTCTTATTCTTACAAGTAGTTTTACGTTCATTAATGCTATTGAATATAACACATAATTTTTACTGTGTTTATTCTCAGAAATTAACATTTGCTTAACTTTCACTGATCGTTTTCATTAAGTTTTTTTTTAAGAAGAACAATATTCATAGTTTAGGACTAAAGGAGTAATAAACTTTTGTCAAAAAATTCCTTTTGGATCTTCAGAGAGGCATCCGTCGATGTGATAATAAGTTTACCATCGAACGATTTTTATAGCGCACTTTTAAACAACTTCTTTAACGCACCAAATAAATAAGGCAACAACGAACCTGAGGTGTTCTCGTACTGTGGCACCGTCTGGAGGACTATTTGACGCTTCAGGGGATACTCCGGCCGTCCGCTAGGCTCCCACTGGCCCACATGCACCGGCACTTAATTGTCGCGCGGCGAACTTATAGGCGGTAGGCAGCGAGCGCGCCGCACTCAACGCACGCGACGTCCCAAAGTTTACTGAGCGCGGCGGCTGGGCGGCCAGAGGCGGCGGCCGCCCGCCCGCCCGGCCCCTCGCCCGCCCGCGGATGCACGGATCTAGCGGACCCACCCGCGGATCTAACTGAGCGCAACTGCCGCCACCACTCCTCAGGGGCCACGAGGGCGACTGTACGATACCCATTCTACGAGACTAATACTATACGGATTATTACACATTGATCATTCCAAGAATATTTTTTATCGTAATGAAAATAATTTTAATATAAAGTTACATAGAATAAACAAATGTTATCATTTCTTTTATGTAAGAAAATGGCAAGCGAGCTGTCGGTTCACCTGATGTTAAGAGAAAACCGCCGTCCATGGACATTTGTAACACCCGTAGAGTTGCAGATGGAATGCCGTTTATACTAAAGTGGACCCCGGTTACCTCACTCACCAGACGAAACGCAGAAGTATAAAACTTCCACTTCACGCCGGTATTCCGTGGGGTAGTGGTACTTCAGCGGACGGACCTGCACGTACATACAACAGTGAAGTTCATACAACTGCTGCGCGGGCCCACCGCAGGCAATTAAAGAGTAAATGATAAATTTACCGCTCTAAAAGAAAAATAACTTTCTCCATTAGATAATGTGTAAGACAGTTGGTATTATCTGTCAATATAGCACAAAGTGTTAAATGGTGAGGAATGTCTTAGCCGCGTGCCCCATTTGCAGAAACAAGAATGATAAGTTCGTGTGCTGTAAACGACATAATAATAGATGGCGCCAAGCATGGCTTAAAATGCGAAAAAAAAAACAGTAGATGAAATACGTTAAGAGGTTCAGCGCCGTGGAAATCAGCCGTTTGTCTTTGTTTATAAAGCTTCTGGACGCGGTTCTGGAAGTAGAGTTCAGTTCCCTTGACGAAAAACTTTTCGTCCATTCTTCTACAAACTTTAATGTTTCACCTGTAGACTGGTAATATATAGGCAGTGCAGTTTTTATACCGAGAATAAAAATACGGCCTTTCTTTCATAAAAGACAACTTTTACAATTCTAATAGCTACTGCAAGAAAACCTTAAATTTCTGTACTACATGTTATCTCATGACGTACCGAAGTTTTGCTAACCGTTGCAACTTATGAAACAAACATAAAAGACACATAATTTACACTGTCTGTTGTTGACTTGTGCACTATGCATTTTCAGTATGATCCTTGAACTCTGTATATAGCGTGCCATGTGAGCGTCTTTTTTGTAGATTGTAACTTTTATGACGTCTGTAGTCGTATGTCAAAGTTGCTATCAGATTGAGATCGTGCCCCTTGACGTATCATGAGCTATTTTATAAAGAGCTCGATCTATTCACGGCTAGATGACGAAGTAGGAATATGTATATATGTTTATATTCTAAAAGTACCATCAGAAATGTCAGACACGGCTCAAAAAAAAAGATATATTTTACTAATTTCAGGAAACTCGTAAGTGATATTAAATGGAATGGTGATTTTGATACAGAAAATTCATATGAACAATAATCAGTTCAAGAAATGTAATGATAAATATTTTTTTTAAACTATATGAAAATTTTAACCATTTTAAACAATTTATCAAAGTGTACATAGGGTATGTCATGTATTTGAACAGAGAAATTGTTTCTTTTTATTATCTCATAAGCCTTTAATAATTATGATGGTAAATAACAACTGAAAGCAGCATCTTTTGATAGAAAAAGGAAGACCAGGCGAGTAAGTGGATCACCAGCACCCATCGACAAATTTAATGAAACAACGGAGGAGTCTCGATTGCGTTGCAAACCTTTGAGGTAGGAACCGGCTCTTTTTTAAGGTCCCAAGTCTTGTCGGTCATGAAATGCCGCTATCGACAACTGGTTGCAAAAAGTGGCTGTTCCAAATAACAGCACCAATATTTATTACTATTATTAGTTTACGGTGCAAGAAAGTTATGCGGTTCAAAAGTAAATAAACACCGCTTGGAAATTTACGCAATTCAATTTAAAAATCGTTTAATTTCAATGACTAATAACATCTTAATTGAATTCATTGGATCTGAAAAAAATAGATGTACACTTCGGCTTCGAGTTTACGGATTGGAAATTCCATTCTGTCACCGCGGAGCCTCGACCCGCAATAAATGGCACTAAAGAATTTATAATTATGTTAGAAAGTGGCAACAGGTTGCGAGCCTTTCGCTGCCGCTACCACGTGAATCGTTTTAGGTGAAGATAAAATAATAATTGGTTCCCTTGCGGAATAGGAACGTGTAGCAATTAATCCATGTTGAATTTATTTATAGATCCCGTATATAAAATTTATAAAAAAGAAAATGTGGAAACACACAGTTGGTTGTTTCTTGTTGTGTTTTATATATATTGTTGCTTTTTAAGATTGTATTAAATACAATACGAATAACATTTACTAAAAAACTTAATCCACTGTTCACCGCTTTGGATCAAAATATATGAAAGCATGTCTTGTTCAAAGTAATTGAGTTGAAGTGAAACTTTATACGCCTACACTCAGTATTAGTGTTTGCACTCTCCTGGTCGCTTGTTTCACATTCATTTATGCGCATATTTATTCATCGATCTTTAGGGCTCTTAATTTCGGTTAGCGAAAATTCGACCGAAACGTGTATTCTCACGCAATTCTCCCGATTTATAAAAATGTTTACAAAATTTAACAACTTCAGGTGGAATATTTATTTTCCTATAAAAGTTTTTTCCCCATTTTATTGAAAGTTAAAACCGCCCGGTAAATCACGAAGGTGAGAGAGTTTATTTGTTCGCCGTAAGAATCGATTAGGAAGAGATAAACGTTCGCGGCGGAGATTTATCGTCGGCCTATTCTCGCGGCGCGCGCGTGAGGCGGGCCGCAACTATGCGACCGACTCGATACAGATTTCAATTCGCCAGTTCGCCGCTTTTCTCGCATATGTGCTCCCACTTCTATTATAAACAAGACAATGTTAAAGTTTATACCTCCCTAAAGAATCAGGGTAATTTTCATAATTGGTTTTATGGGCTGTAGTTTCTTAACGCGGATTGTGCCATGAGCTTGTAGTAATTTTCGCGTAAGGAAACAGTGTTATGCCCCCTCCATTCGACTCTCTCTCTATCTCTGTTAAAAAGTATAATTTTATTGTAAAATAAAAATTTGTTATTCATTGTTGTTAATTTGTTATTATAAAATGTAATTTTATTCCTCCTATTTTATATAAACAAAGTTCAAATCAGCATAAAAACTTAATTTTAAAAGTAAGGACTTACAGTATTCGCCAATATTATATTATCTACAACTTTTATCCTTACTCCCTTTTGTATGCATACATCATTTATATAATTAATATTTAAGAACTGTAACTGCAATAGCCGGGATAAATTCTGTTCATGCAACTCGCAGAAGTATGAATTTTCAGCTATTTTAAGTCTTGTGTTTGAGGTTTAACGAAAACACAAATAAGGGTATTCCTTAAGATTATAACAGATCGATTAGACTTCCATTTGGTATAGTTTTAAATCAAGTTGGTGGAATAGGATACAGAAGTTTGTTTATTTGAGTTTGGTGAAACACAAAACCTATTTTAAGAAAATTGGCACGCGCTAATATCAGTTTTATATTAGATATCTTGCCTTTCGTTACTCAGAGAGCCATTTCGTAATCAATTTGATTTGTTTAATACTGGCATTTTCCCCGTAGTTTCTTTAATTCGTAAACAATTACGATCTAAATTTGTCAAATTAAAATCAGTCGTGTTGAGGCTTGCCAGCGTCTCGTGAGTTGAACCGTCCAGTAAATTACACATTTGCGCCCAATCGATCAGTCTGTGTCGCAGATCGCCTTGTTCCGTTAATAGGTCGAATTGAATGCGTAACACAGAAACGTCACGTGACGCGTTACATTCTGAGAAATGGCCCTGTCGAAGTGCTGCATCGATCCAGAGAAAATATCGGGCCTGCTCCGAATGATATATTCAACCCTTTTGCAGTAGACAGCGAAATCTATTGCGTTTTTGAAATAGTTCACTTTTGCTGAACTATTTCAATTCCATATTTCATTTTTGTTCTTGATTTTTGTTGAGGTTGATTTTATTTTAGCTGCGTTTTTTCTTAAATTTTACAAAACCTTAGTTAAGAGATAAATAAATAAATGTTTTTTTTATATCTTAGGAAACATGTTTACTCAGCTGTTATATAGTCGCAAACTAAGCAACGCTTGTACTATAAGTACTAGGTAATTGATAAATATACTTAAACATACTTTTCTTTTGTAAGTAAATACATATTATGCATGTATAAACAAACAGACACTAGAAAAACACTATGTTCAACGCACAATATTTTTCCAGTAGTGGGGATCGAAATCACATTCTTTGGCGCAGGAGGCAGGTATGTACACTACCCACTACGCCATTCGGGTGCGTATATATATATATAATAGCAGAACAGTGATATACACATGGCAAGACTGTTTTAAAAACTTCATCATCGCGTTTTAATGTGACCATTTGAAATAATTTAATAACGAATCTACGAATACAAATATGCAGATGTATTCAACTCAATTATCCCTTACGAAAACGACTTTATTGGGAGTTACAAGATTACAGAAAGAATGAAAGAAAGAAAGAAGATTTGAAGTCGTTATAGTAGTTAGTCCTAAAGTCTGAAATTATGACTGAAGTACTATTAGTTCATTGAAACTGATTTATAAGAAATTAAAAATTTCATGTCACCACGGTACACTTTTTTTTAGTTTTATCTAGCTTTGGCACGTATTTAACTTAGAGCCCTAGTACAGCCAACGTTGAATAAGCAATTAGAACAATGTTGAAATAATATGAGATGTTAAAAATTTGACTTGTCAGTGTACCAATTAGTTCTCGCTTTATTTTAAGAAGAATCGACTTGCGAAAATAAATAATCAATTCTGAATTACATAATATGTAGACGGTAAAACTTTGCTCAGCTTAATAAAATCGCGTTTTTGTAAATTTTTCTACTCATCCGATTGTAATAAACCTTATTGAGATACGTTCTTCAAATCAAAAAATTCCTCCCAGCGCCACCTTATTAAATAATTTCAGTTGCCTACAGGGAATTAACTGTGCATTTCATTTACTGCAATAACTATACACAAATATCTAAAAATTATCGGTCAAAAATAGACAATATAAA